CACCACCTAAGTTCTTATTAGAGCCACCGACTATCTAAATCCTATTTTTGCTAGTATCTGTATATATGTAAAAAAGGAGCTCATTAGGCGTCTTCAGTCTAGCTAGAATCAGAGCATGTAAAATTTGGAGCCAGTATCTGTTTTGAAACTAACTCCAATCTACATAATTTTATCAATGACACAGTAAACTATGATATATAGGAACATGCAGTGCACCAATTCAGAAAGTCATAATAATCAGTAAAATAGGCATAACAAAACCCTACAGGTCGTAATTGCTAAGTAAGTTCCATGTCGACTAGTCCAGCACCAAAAGAAAACAGTAATATCGAAACCACATCAGTTATCTATGTGACGTGTATAAATAAAAATAAGGTTAGCTTATGAATAATAGTTCAGAAATAAGTTTGGGGTTGATCATGTTTAATTCCAGGGTCATCTCCTTTCTCAAAGATTCTCAGAAAGAGCATGACTACCCTTTACGTACAACTTCCATCATGCTATATTTCTGCTTCAGCAAATTAGGATTTGACAAGTCCTTCAACTTCTGAGAAACTAATTGCCAAAATATACTGTGCAAAAATAGAATGGTTGATATAGACAGGAACCATGAAGAAACTCGAATAACTCTAGAGAGATTAAACCATGCTTATCCGCATGCAGCATGCAGAATAATGCTTATATAGAATAAACAAAGAATGAAAGCATGGAATACTAACTACACATGAGGGACCATACTGGTTCCAACAAGGGCCCAAACAACATTACCACGACTCATTGTCAGTGCAAGTGTACAGCCCCAAGTTTCATACAGCAACGATTATTTTGCACCTATGGGTTTTTTTAGTATAATGTTTAGGGGTCAGGACAGAAGAAAGAAGAAAGAGTAATCCACAATTTAATCTCAGTTCTCAGTGGTTCAAAGAAAGGAACCATGGAAGCTAGTCTAATAAAGGTAACGAGGAATGCAAAAGGGTCATACAATTCATCAATAACAATGCTTCAAAAGTATATTAAATTAAATTGTTAATCATGCATTCTTTACCAGTAGGGATAATAAAGCATATACTGATATACATATTAGTTTCAACATTACCATGCCTCTCAGTAGTAGGTATATGAGCAAAGAAACATAACTCACAGAAGCTTCATGGCCAAAATATCCATCCACTTCCCCTAGACCAACAGCGGCATCAGCTGTCCATGGAGAGCCTCAGAGCCACCACTGGCTCCAATCTCTTGGTGCGTTGCCAGAGACAAGAGGCCTGATAGGCTGAATCACATGGCAAACTCAATCACAAAGCTAATACTCCATGCTTATAGAGCAAAAAAAATAGCAGTCATATCCATTGGCCATAGCTATCAGTCCTAAGGACTGATCAAGACCATTGCCTTAGTCAAAACACAGGACTAAAGGGGTGTTAATTTCAGACCACCAGCAATTTTATCCGTTCAGCTGCACTAGGCACATGACCATCAAATATAAACTAAACTTTTTGATCCTGCTGGCAGCTTAATAATTAGAACAGAGATAAAGAATTCAGTGCTCAGTTTTCAGCAACCTAGTTCAATTCGAAAATGGAACCACACCTAAAACAAATTAGCAACAAAGAAGGTCTAGTACTATCCAGTGTGCAGATTAGCTTCATCCCACAACAAATTAGAAACAAACTTGTGGTGTGGCTTAACAACAAATTGGCTGCAGGCTGCATTTGACGTTCAATCCATGTCTAAACAAGATACAATCTAAAATCTTGTGTATTTTTAAAATGTTATCATCACTTGACTGCAAGTGCACCCTAGTAAAATTTAATGGCTCTCACCTCCAGCCTCATGCGGCATGACAATTTCACTTCGATCAGGCAACGATGCAACAACAATCCCTGAGGCGTTGGAACCTGGAACGCTGGATACTACCCCTTCAGGTTCTCCCACACCATTGTAAACTGCACAAAGGAAAATAATTGATATATTGAATCGCTCTTGTGAACGAAGCTGTTTGGTTCAGCTCTGATAATGGGATCTCACAGCCTTAGTAAATTGAAAAGTATGTCGGACTGCGATAAACACTATGAGCTAAAAAAGACCAAAATGCATCAGATTCCAGATCTATAGGACGACAATACTTACCTGGATCCGTTCTGCACCGAGCCACCTCGTCGGATCCGCCCGAGCCACCTCGTCAGATCTCGCTGCCGCCTGGAGCACTGGGGCCGCGCGGTACCGGATAGCCGCCATTCCCTTGGCCTGGCCGCACCACCGCACACTGCCTGGGGTACCTGGGTCGCACGCCGCGCTTCCATCGACTTGCGACCCCGATGAGCGCACAGCGGGGATGCGGCCCAGACAACCGAGTAGTAGGGACGGTGGCTGCAGCAGCGAGGATGACGGCCCCGGCGAGCTCGTGGCGGTGATGGAGAAGAGCCGCCCCCGAGGTCCCGACGAGCGCCGATGGTGCTGAGTCCGTGTGTGGCGGCTGCTGGGTGGATGGGACGATGGGTGCTGGAGCCTTGAGACAGGGTTTTGGCTTTTTGGGTGTTAGTGTATGACCGGTGGGCCACTCAATTACATTGCACGTGAGTGGGCTGGGCTGGATGCGCCAAAAATGAAAACCGACTATAGTTTGACTCTAATATGTGTTTACACCGACCGATGGTTCGGCCAAACAACCAAATATATATAACTACCAATAATCAGTCGGTACAAGAGAAAATAGCGACCGATGATTTGTTAGAAATTTATAACAACCAATAGTTGGGTGTTAATATTATGTTTTAGTGACCGTTATCCGACGCTAATTGTTGGTTGTGGTATAATGTCAACCCTAACTATACTAATCTAACTATACATATCCTAACTACCATGAAATCGAGGTTGAAATCAACATTGCAACAAGAAATCAAGAGCGGATTACCTGTCCTACGAAGTGGGGAACCTTGGTGGTTCACCCACACCCAGCATGCCCCGCGGAGAGGGCCGCCGCTGCCCCCTGGCGCGCAGCTGCCGGTGGGGAGCAGCGGGCGGCACGGCCACGAGGGGCCTTACAAAGAGAGGTCCGGCGATGGAGTGAGAGAGGGAGGCCGAGGGGAGTCACAGAGGGAGGAAGAGCGCCGGAGATGGCCGAGGTGGAGAGGGATGGAAGCGGAGAGAGACGACGACGGATCTGTAATTCCCCCTACCGCGCCAACCGCCTGGCGCGACAAGAGACGCGCCATCTAGGTTGGTGCGGTAGCTGCCGTGCCAGAGTCGATGGCGTGGCATAGCGGTGCCACGTCAACTGGTCAGCGGGCGGCTGACCTGTCACCATGGCAAGTCAGCCGCGCCAGGATGCATGGCACGTTGGAGCGGTTTGGCCGTGACAGGGAAATAGGCGTGGCCAAGCAGGTTAGATGTGAAAAAAAAGTCAACGGTGTTAATTTTAAAAATTGTTTGAAAAAGGTTAAAAATAAAAAAGTTCTACCTGCACAAGTGTAGATGTTTGCCGAAAAAAGTCATACAGCTGCTAAGGGACAAAAGGCTTGCTCAATAACTAAAATTAGAAAAATAAGAGTGGACACACTTGCAAGCGTGCATAGAGCCATACAAATGTACGTCCTCCGTTCTAATTTATTATGTATACAGATATATCGTGTGTGTATATATAAGTGCATAATAAAAATTAGATGTCTAGAAAAACTAAAATGACCTATAATAATTAAGGTCAGAGGGTGGCACCGTGAAAATCACCAAAGCAATCGGGTCGGGAGCCCAATTTCACCTCCAGTAGCCTCTCCTCTTCCCCCTCTACCTCCACTTTATTCTTCACGCGCATCGGGCTGTGGATGTAGGCCCTGTTCGCTTGAACTTATCAGCCTGGCTTATCAGACATGGCACAATGTTTTTCTCTCGCGACAAATCTGCCAGCGTGGAGCTCGGAAAATATAAACGAGTCTGCAGTAAAAACTTTGGCATCTTGTTACTCAGCGGTGATAACCGCCGAAGGCTTCAGGTTTTTGGTTAGCTCTGCTGATGGCGACCATATCAGAGTATCCATTCTTCAGTGACCAAAATCCGACAAAATCACGGCGTCCCAACGGCTACCTTTCCCAACAACCACAGCACACACACTGGGAACCCTTCCTTCTTTGTGCATATCGTCCATAGCATGACATCTGCCTTTGAATGATGCTCTCTCCTTGCCTGAATTACGAGCTCTTCCGTTGGTTGAGCAGGCTTGCGCTTGCGCAGATCCATCTTGCATCTGCCTGAAATTTGACAGGAACCAACACTGTCACCATTTTTAATTCTGAATTCTGATTGGCCCGTCCCAGGTTTTTCCGTGTGAAAATCGGATTAAAGCGACAGTGACGGGAGTAGGTTTGATAATATCAACTGGGTTCAAGCCAAAGGCAGGCCGGCAACTGCGAAATATCCAAATGAAGTTTGACATGTTCCAAAGCATATCAGCTACTTCAGAGCTAACAGAATTTTTTTTTTCAGGGAAGAGCTAAGAGATATTCATTCAAAGCAGAAAATCAGTAGTACTAGTATTCTAGTAACCTACAAAACTTTGTGACCACTCTTGTGAAACTTCCAAAAGAATTCTCCTGCACTGCCTCACATAGAAGGAAAAAGTTTTTTTTTTCAATAAAAAACTCTCCTGAAACCAGCAAGAAATTGACATGTCATTTGCTACAGAATGCTGACTAGTGACTACTATGAAAGGGTCCTCCTTGTTGACTCTCTGAACTTTTATCTGCTTTATTATGACATGACAGTTTGGTTTCTGCATCTGCACACCAATACACATGACGCCGGGTCTCCTGATCCATCCAACATGTTCAAGAACCAACAAGAATCGAATAAGTCGAAACCTACCTGATCCACTACAAGTCCTCATCAGCCGCGGCAGAAGGTATCAGAAAGAGAGCAACGCAACGCAGAGGAGGACACAGGGTGGCCAAGCCCAGCAAGCAACGGCGTCCCAGCCTCCCAGGGCAGCTGAGAGCTGCCGGCCAGCTATGGCTTCCCGCCTTCTCCTCGTCACCTTGGCTCTCCTCTTCGTCGCAGCCGCAGCGCAGAACAACGAGATCATGCTGCCGGCCTGGCCATCCTGCTCGACGACAGACAACTACACCGACGGCAGCCAATACAAGAAGAACCTGGACCAGCTCCTCTCCAGGATGCCCACGGCGGCCGGCGACAACGGGTGGTTCTGCAATGGCACCGCCGGGACGGGGGCTGACGAGGTGTTTGGCCTCATCATGTGCTACGCCGACCGCAACGCGACGCAGTGCCTGGACTGTCTCTCCAGGGCGCCAGCGGGGATCACGACGGTGTGCCCGGGCAGCCGGAACGTGAGCGCGGCGTACGACGCGTGCGTGCTCCGGTACTCGGGCACCGACTTCTTGTCCGTGGCCAGCCGCAACGCGGCGTTCTACGTCACCTGGTTCAGCACCGTCGACCAGGCAAGGCTCGAGGACGCGCGCTCGAGCCTGATGAACAGCTCGCCAGGACGGCCGCCGGCTCGCAGCCGCTGTTCCTCGCGAACGAGAGCGCGCCGCTCGCCGGCTCGTCGGACTCGGTGTACGGGCTCGCGCAGTGCACGCGGGACCTAACGGCCAGCGAATGCAGCTGGTGTCTCACCAGTCACCACTTATATCGGTCTGCTGCCGGGGAATTTCCCGAACAACACCGGAGGCGCGATCAAGGGGTACAGCTGCTACGTCAGGTACAGTGTCGGCGCCTTCGCCATCACCCTGCCGCCGCGCCGTCCAGCGCCACCGCCATCGTCACCTCCTTCTCCGTCGGTGTCGACAGGACTAGTGGTCGGCTTGTCTGCCGCCGGAGCTGCTTCTTTCTTGATCATCCTAGGCCTGTCAGTCAGTTTCCTCCTGCGCCGACGGCGAAAGCGCGCCATGCAGACCATGGAGAGGGATCTGGAAGAGGGCGACGACTTCGCCGGAACGGAGGACGAGTTCGAGAAAGGGACCGGGCCAAAGCGGTTTCGCTACGGCGAGCTTGCCATTGCCACTGACAACTTCTCGGACAAGCACAAGCTAGTGTGCATCATCACTGCTGCCAGCGATGACACAGACACACTGCTGCCATGGCAGCTCCGGCACGAGATCGTGCTGGGGCTTGGGTCAGCTCTGCTGTACCTGCACGAGGAGTGGGAGCAGTGCGTGGTGCACAGGGACATCAAGCCCAGCAACGTGATGCTGGACTCGTCCTTCCACGCCAAGCTCGGCTACTTCGGGCTGGCGAGGCCGGTCGACCACGGCCAGGGCTCGCACACCACGGTGCTCGCCGGGACCATGGGGTACATGGACCCGGAGTGCATGATCACCGGCAGGGCGAATGCTGAGTCGGACGTCTACAGCTTCGGCATCGTACTGCTAGAGATCGCCTGCGGCCAGCGGCCCCTGGTGCGTCGCCACGGCGAAGAAGACGTGATCCACATCGTGCAGTGGGTGTGGGAGTACCATAGCAGAGGAGCCATCCTCGACGCCGCCGACGCACGGTTCAAGGGTGAGTTGGAGGCCCGGGAGATGGAGACCGTGATGGTCGTCGGCCTCTGGTGCGCGCACCCTGACCGGAGCCTCCGACCGTCCATCCGGCAGGCCGTCAGCGTGCTGCGGTCTGAGATGCCACTGCGCAATCTGCAGGCGAGGATGCCGGTGGCAACCTATGAGCCACCACCTGATGCCTTCTACTATACATCTACCACTGTCACAAGCGTTAATAGCAGCACCACTCAATCCAGCATGACAATCACAACTGTCCTGCCCAAATGACCTCAGATCATTCGCGACTGCAGAGACAACAAATTGAATTATCTCTTGTTGAACTTCATTCCTCGAGAAATAACTATCCAAGTTCCTTAGCTCTCTTTTAAAATTTAATGTTTTGAATCTTGGAGAGATCTGTAGTTTCCTTTTTGCTATAAAATATCATGGTGTTAACCATAATGGAGCTCAATTCTGTTGGTGCCATTTTCTGGCTCAAGCATGCATGCGTTGGATGGCCTGATGTCGTACCAACATCCACAGGCGCCTTAAGGCTTCCAAAACCATGGAACCATCGCTAATGGCAATGAGCTGTTAGTCTGAGACCTGCTACCATGCCACTCTCACACTATTATCGACCATGCCATGACCACGTTTGTTTTCTCTTGTGACTAACTTCTCGCAAAAGAAGGTGAAATAATGTCAGCTACACTGATCTTGAGCTTTTCATGCTTGTCTATCGATGAATTGATGAACCAGTTGCACATAGCACGTAGGACATCGATAGCCAATATGCATAATCAGAGCAGCCAAAACATGTTACTCCTTATGTCAATTCATTCAAATTTAAGCTATGGTAGTTGGAATGGACATGTTTTGTTTTCGCTTTGTCGATGTCAACGATGCTGTCAAAAATTTTCGGCCAAGACGACAGGCTAAGATGGTGAGCGCAGTGGGGGGAAGGAGCTGCATGAGTACTGAAAGTGCATCGATGATTTTTTATGGTGTACAAAGACATTGGTGTCCAAGCGTGCGACGCTGATGCAACCGTATCTAGCAGATGCGGTCTACAGACGCGCTGCAGGGAATTTTTTTTCCATGGCTGCCCCGTTCGCCCGGGCCACACTGGCCACTGGCACCTAGGCCCGGCCGGCCAAGCAGGGTCTCTCATAGTCTCATTATCAGGGCCGGTTGCAGGAGGCCAAGTGGTTGGGACGGTGCTGGGCATGTGCCGATTCTGCAATAATCCACAACAGATCTAATGAAGCATGCACCACCGGCGTAGAAGAAATAGGATCAGGTATTGATAAATCCCATACTATGCTCGCAACTGGTGACCACGTGCTTGATTATGACTAATTAATGTGTGTTGCAACAAGAGAAGAAAAAAAGCTATCAAACGTTCGACTTGTTCGTTTCAGCTTGTTGCGTAGCTACAACGGTATGAAAGGATCAATATGCTCAAGAGAAGGGTGAATTAGACTAATTCTAAATTTCTTTGCAATAATTAAACCCTACGGTTAGCTCAATTAACCCCTTGTGCCTAGAAAGTGTTTCCATTGATCTACCGCATAAAAGTTTAGCAACCTATGTTTCAATCCTACTCTAGCATGGCAATTCTATGAATATAAATGACAAGAATTGAATTGCTCAAAGTAAATACTCAAAGTAAAGAGAGAAGGAGAAACGCGGCGATGTTTTGCCGAGGTATCGGAGAGTCGTCACTCCCCACTAGTCCTCGTTGGAGCACCTGCGCAAGGGTGTAGCTCCCCCTTGATCCGCGCAAGGATCAAGTGCTCTCTACGGGTTGATTCTTCGACACTCCGTCGCGGTGAATCACCCGCAACCGCTCACAACTTAAGTTGGGTCATCCACAAGCTCCGCCGAATGATCACCAAGCTCCCAATCACCACCAAGCCGTCTAGGTGATGACGGTCACCAAGAGTAACAAGCACGAACTTTCACTTGATCACGACAAGCCTAATGAGAAGGGTGGATGCACACTTTGCTACTCTTGCTTTCACTAATGAGGGCTCTCTTTGGGATTCTCAAATCTCAATCACCTCACTAGGACCTTACTCTTCTTGGCACTCTCAAAGGTGTTTCTCAGCTGTTGGAATGAGCAAAAGTACCCCCTCACACGAATGGAGGAAGTATTTATAACATTGGTTGAAAAACGAACCCTTATGTGCCTCTGCGGGGTGACCGGACGCTCCGGTCAGTTCAACCCGAACTCCAGTGTTAAAGTAGTGACCGGACGCTGGACAACGTTCGGTCACGATTTTCCCTCTCTGGAACCTTACTGGAGTCGACCAGACGCTGGCACCCAACGTCTGGTCACTCACCTTTCAGCGTCCGATCGCACCAGACGAAATCACCTTGATCAAATGAACTGATTGGACTCTGTGCCAGCGTCCGGTCACACCGGAGCCAGCATCCGGTCAGTATTTGACCATCCATTCACTTCCAACTCTCAAACATACGTGAATGAAGTTTGCTCCAATGGATCTAAGAGCTTTTTAGGAGCTACCTAGTGCTAGTTTTACCAAGTGTGCACCACACCTAACCCACTAGACTCACCTAGGTCAAGCTACCCATCCATACCCCCCTTAATAGTACGGCCAAAGGAAAAACAAAGTCCTAAACTACTCTAAGCGTCTCTTCAACACCAAACGACACTTAGAACTAGTCCATCCTTAACCTTGTCGTCCATCCTTTGAAAACCGAAATAATTTCCATCGTAGGGGCATGACCACCATGATTGCCCAATCGATCTCTATTGCCATGACCTAACTTAATTGCCTCTGCAAAACACACGTTAGTCACAGTAATCACGTATTGTCATTAATCACCAAAACCCAACTAGGGGCCTAGATGCTTTGAATCTCCCCCTTTTTGGTGATTGATGACAATACTACCTCGAGTATGTGAAAGAGTTGAGGTTTTTAACATGCTTGGATCATATAAGCTTTTGGCAATAAGAACAAAAGAATTAGGCAAGCTTATATGACCCAAGCCAACATGATGTACTCAAAAGATATGAAATAAGCATGAGTACAATAAATAAAGCTCATTTGCATCGGAGTAAAACGCGAAAGCAAAAGCAAATGAGCATAGCACAAGTGATATGACATAAAAATAATTCAAAGTAGAGAGTACACATGTCACATATCACATAAATATCATGATCACATTAATATCACGATTACAATTACACTTATGTAGTTCAATGCATAATAGTAAACAAATGCATAATGTATCACACATAAAACTCCAAATGTAATAGATAAGCTAATAGATAAAGTCCCCCTAAATATGTCGCTCCCCCTAAGGCTAACATACTCGAACCCTCTCTCCCTTTGGCGTCAAACACCAAAACCTAAGGGTCGATCGGCGGGGTTGCAGCGGACGAGTCGGGCGCTGAGGTGTGAGGAGCGAGCTGAAACTATGTGCCATCATCATCTGACCCTGAGCTCTAAGGAGTCTGACCCTCTGTAGCTGGAAGCGATGCTGAAGCAGTCTGGGTCGGATCAGGGACTGGAGCGGCTACAGACTATGCAGGTATGACTGTAGCAGGCGGCTCTGATGATGCAACAAAAGAAAGGAGCGTCTCTATAGTCCTGGTAATAGGTACAACTATGGAAGGACCTAGGATATGTAGATATGGCGAAGTAGGCTGCCCTGTCAACTCACTGAAGGAAGCACCAAGGCTCTTGGAACTATAGTCTCTAACACTAGCAGCGAAGAAGTCTGAGCCGGTGTGAAGCCCGTCTGAAAAGGTGTGAACTGCGGGGCTGCCACTAGCGAGGCAAACCACTGGGACACCTGCTCTGTAGGTGAAGCAAACTGAGTAGCAGTCTGTCCCTGACTCTGAAGCCCACTAGGCTATAAAGCTGGAGTCATAGAAGTGGTGGCAGGCTAACCAAGCTGGGGCGAAGGCTGTGGCGGTGGAGGCCCAATAGCTGTCACAACATGCTGCATAAACCCGAGTAACTGCTACTGAATGAGAAGCTGCTGCTGATGCATGGCCTGCTGTTGCTGCTGTATAGCCTGCTGTTGCTGCTGAATCGCCTGTTGCTATCTCTAGAACTCGTCCTGCCGAGTCTGAAACTATGCAAAAGTAGCAGCGGTCTCCTGGGCCTGGCGAGCCTGATCCTGCCTCATCCGCTCAAGTATGGCAAGTAGAGCGGGGTCTGTCTGTGGTGCAAGTGGAGCTGAACTGGAGCTACCGGCCTTAGCATCATGTCGTCATGGAGGCATCTAAGGGATAGCCTGGTAGTCATCGTCTGAGCTGTCACTGGGGTCGCTCTCTACCATACCCTCCTACTGAGCATCAAGCTGCTCATCCTCTGTAGCTGCAATACCCCTAATAGTCTCATCCTGCTGGGCTGCAAACTCTGGCACATCTGGACGATGGCGTGGCTGACTAGGTGGCCTTACTGCACTATGACAGAGCATTTGAGTCATGTTGTATGCAGGGAACTCTGTCATAGCACCACTATACTCAGCTAGCATCTCAGGTGGCCTCACAGTAACTGCCCTATGAATAAGAAAAGTGATCTAGTGGGCATAGGGCAACTGCCGATGACCTCTGAATCCCTCTACAATAGTATCTTCCATCTCTGATAGAAAGAGATCCCAAATGTCAAACACAGTCTGCTGCATCAGAGAGTTCAGTAACCATAACTGTATGCAAGTCAAGCTCTCGCGATACCTCATCCTAGAAAGCAGGGTCCTCCTCATAATAGCATCCAACACTCTAGTTGTAGGAGTGAGATCACTAGGTGTCCTGCTCGACCCTTCGCCAAAAGGCTCTGTGAAGCAATGGCGGACTAGATCTATAGGGGGCACCATACCGCCATGAGGGCGTCTAGGAGGCGCTGTCTGTCCATAGCAAACCTCATGTAGCCGGACTGGCTACTCCTGAAGCCTGAGAATCTCCCTCACCCTAAAGCTCATCAGCCTGTAATCTCTGCCTCTGAATGCAAAGTGTATAAATCTGTGCTGCGGGTCAATCCAGAGTGTAGCATAAAACTCACGGACCCAAGATGGAACATGTAAGCCGGTCCGTTCGAGTAGATCTGTTAGCCCTGACAGGTAAGATAGGTAAGGGCGAATATGCTCTCCTGCTGCTGCTACAATGGACTCAATGTTGCACACCCTCTGAGATCTAAAAACTACTCCACTATTAAGATATGCATTATTAAAATCTTTCTGCAGTGGTGTGTAGAAGCCCTCTGATGCACGGTCATCCCTCCTCGGTGGGAACCACTGATCAAAGTCCACAA